AAATCATTTTGAACAACATACCAGAGTAAAAGAGATTGTCGATAGCTCTGGAGTGCATGCAGCACAATCGACCTATTCTTGCTTCATCGACAGAGCCTAGACTTGCTCGTTCTGTCGTGCATGATTAAAGTCTGCTCCGCTCCGGGGTGCGTAAGTCGCTAGAATCTGTTGATAGCTTCTGGAAGGAATGCATAGCGCAAGCTCCATTGAATCGACACTTTTTCTCTATTCCGAAAGCCATCCATATATTCGCCTTTGAATTCAAGTGTGAAGGTTGATAAACTTTTTCACAATGATTACCACGACGTCGGTATCCGACCGTCCAAACAAGACGCATGTCAAAAATAAATCCATCCATAAAATCATCAAATTTGATCCATCTCTAAAAGATGTTGCCCCTGAATTAAGTTAGCAATATGCAAATGCCAATTTACTGTTGACTCGCATATCTTAGCTGTTGAGCTCCCCCAGACCTCCTCGCCTCAGGCTCTGCGAAATTACCCTTTAATTTCGAGTGATTTGATTGGCGATTAGCACAAAGAAGTGTTATGCAACAGAATTTTAGGAATGATTTGTTCACATATATGTGAATAATGCTTTTTGCATATGATTCTGCAAGTCTAACATGTTTAGTTATCTAATTGAGCTGATCTGTTTAGTTAAACAGTAACCAAGACTGTTTTGACTTGGAGACTACTTAGAGATCTAATTGTAGTTTCCTGTTCTACAAACCTCTTTCAAATTAGCCTAAACATTCAACCCACCAAAGTTGAACTTGTCTAGATACGTGACGTTAATAGATTTTCAGATTAGATTACTGGGTTATGATAAGGACGAGCAATTTCATTATTTCTGCGCATTCAATCTTGTACAATTTAATAGTTGTGTACAAGGCTAGGCTTATTGTTGTAGGTCGGGTTGTATTTGGGAGGTACAGACCTTAGTAAGGACAGTGGTCGAGTAAGGACAGTGGTCGAGTAAGGACAGTGGTCGAGTAAGGACAGTGGTCGAGTAAGGACAGTGGTCGAGTAAGGACAGTGGTCGAGTAAGCAATCACGACTGAGAGCCACACCGACTAAAAAACTTGTTCTCTCAGTTGCATAAAT